AAGGAAAAGGGAAAGAGGGAAATATAGAAGACCAGAAGATAAGGATAAAGGAATTGATTTCTTCACTATCTTTATAATTATTATGGATATGCCAATATTTATAACTTATACACTTTAAATTTATGAGATTTAGTCCATATGAATGATACTTCATTCAAATAATTGTAAAAATAATAAAATACTGAGAGGGAAGTAGTGATAGAGAGGAAAATGTTCCAAATCCCTGTAAATTCAACTCCATCAAACCTAATCCTCTCCATTTGGGGGTAAAGTCTCAAAGTGGCAAAATTACAAATGTTCCCATTACAGAATTATTCTAACCTCAACTAGGCAGGCCCAACTCTGTCCTTGAGTGGGTTCATGGGTCAGAGGAGTCTAGTGTTGAAGACCTCATGCTCAGATACCAAAAAAGTCACTCTGACCAGATAGGAAATACTGCACACATCTCAGAGACCCTCCATGCTCCAGGGTGAGTATCACATTTGTAACATGGAAAAGTCAGGAAGACCTACAACACATGATCCATGTCCACATGTAAACAGGAAATATGATGATGGATGCTAAGATTTATCACATTACAATCTCATAATAATAATTTATATTTTCACAAGAATTACCCTTGTCATATTCCTGCCCCAGAACACTCACACCTGCTCTGGCCCAGCCCTCCCTCATTGTCCCACCTCAGACCTCTGAAACTGCAGGAGCACATGCAAATAGGGCCTCCCTCTGCCCATGAAAACCAGCCCAGCCCTGACCCTGCAGCTCTGGGAGAGGAGCCCCAGCCCTAGGACTCTGGTGTCTGCCCACTCTCTGGTCAGGACTGAACACAGACCACTCACCATGGAGTCTGGGCTGAGCTGACTTCTCCTCATTGCTCTGTTACAAGGTAATTCACAGAGAACTGGAGACTCAGTGTGTGTGATTGGATGTGAGAGAGAGAACAGAGGGTGTGTGTGGAGGTTTCTGACCAGTTGTCTCTGTGTTTGCAGGTGTCCAGTGTGAAGTGAAGCTGGTGGAGTCTGGGGGAGGTTTGGTCCAGCCTGGGGGGTCCCTGAGACTCTCCTGCAAAGCGTCTGGATTTTCATTCAGCAGCTTCTGGATGCACTGGATCCGCCAGGCTGAAGGCAAGGGACTGGAATGGGTCTCAGCAATCAGAGGTAATGGTGGTAACACACATTACGCGGACTCCATGAAGGGCCGATTCACCACCTCTAGAGACGACGGCAAGAACACTCTGCATCTGCAAATGAACAGCCTTAGGCCTGAGGATGCTGCCATGTATTTCTGCGCGAAGGACCCAGCAAGGAAAAGGCAATGGGAATCCAGACACAAACCTCCTCCTGTGGAGTGTGGCTGCTGGGGGTGCCCAGGACACAGGTGCGGGGATTGGGGGCAGGGCTCAGCCCTGGTGTCTGCTCAGGGTCATGGTTTCCTCTCTACAGAACAGTTTCCTCTGGGGAACATCTCTGGATTTATGATTCTGTGTTTTGTTTTGACATTTCTGAATTGGATGTGTTTGAGCAAATAACTGAAAACCTCACCTGCACAAAAGAGAGAGAGTAGCTTTCAGTCACTTTATCTTGTCCCAAAATGGACATTAATTATCAACAATTTGGAGTAAGTCAGTAAGTCTATTAAAAAATTTCTCTTGTATCCACAGTGCAGCATAGAACACAGAACTGAAAGTGCCCCTCATCCCCAAGCAGGACACCATGACTCCTGGACCTCAGGGACAGAGGAAGGCACCTTCCTAAGTGAGAGGATGAAGACCCCACGGTAGTCAGTGTCTAAGCAACCAGCTTACAACATCCAATGCAGTGGACCAATGCCAAGGCAGAGAGGCCCCACCAGTGTAGCGTGAGGATGGGTCTGACGGTGTTACCCAAGCACAGCTAGGGAATGTGGGAAGGTTAGTACCTGGGTTACCCAGATGTCTGCTGAGAGAAGAGACATTCCTCAAGAATCCCAGCATGGCTTAACAGGCAAGGAGAGGAGGCTTGCTCAGGGCTTTCAATACTGGTTTGTTGGAGGGGTTGTTTTAGGGTGACATTTAAGTCATTTTTGCAGTTTTTTGTTTTTTTGGTTTTTTTTGCCAGGGCCAGGTTTGAACCCACCACCTCTGGCATATGGGGCCGGCACCCTACTCCTTGAGCCACGGGTGCCACCCAAGTTTAAGTCCTTTTTATCTTTGTCTACTTCTCTTTAGAGGACCTGTCCTCTTTTGTCACAGGGGTGTTAAAGTCCCAGCTGTTGTGGTGTTATTGGATATCATATTGCTCAGACCCTTCAAGGTCCGTTTCAAAGATCTGGAAGCATTTAAATTAGGTACGTAAATTTTAAAATTGAAATGTCTTTTGTATTGTTCTTTTGATCAGTATGAAGTGTCCATCTTTGTCTTTCTTAACTATAGTTCCTTTGGGTCCACTTGTATCGGAGAACAATATTGCAACCCCTCCTTTCTTCTGATTTCTATTCACTTGAAATACTATTTTCTATACCTTAATCCTGAGGCTTGATTTTCCCTCCAAGGGTAGTTGTGTCTCCAGGAGACAGCCTAAGGATGTCTTGTGATTTTGTTATCCAAAAGCCAGCCTGGGCCTCTCCAGTGGGAATATTCAATCCATTAACATTTATTGAGAGTATTGATGTGTCTTAGAATTTTATTCATCTTGTTATGAGAACATCTGTTTTATCCTTAGTGCCATTGCGGAAGCCACATTTTGACCTTTAACTTCCCTGTGTTTACTTTGGTGGTGGTCAATTTTGGTGTTCAATGTTGAGAATAGGTCTAAGTATTTCCTGTAGAGCTGGTCTTGTGGTGAATTTTCTCAGTGCTTGTATATCTGCAAAAGATTTGATCTCTCTTCAGTTTTGTTCATCCATCTTAATTCTCTGTTCTTTGTTTTTAACTGAGTTTATTCTAAAGAGTTGTCTTCAAGCTCTGAGGTTCTTTCTTCTACCTGGTCTAGTAAATTTTTAAAACTTTTCACT